CACTGTGACATTGTGTTTAACTTGCTTTACCACTGTGACTTTGTGTTTAACTTGCTTTACCACTGTGACTTTGTGTTTAACTTGCTTTACCACTGTGACTTTGTGTTTAACTTGCTTTACCACTTTGACTTTGTGTTTAACTTGCTTTACCACTGTGACTTTGTGTTTAACTTGCTTTACCACTGTGACTTTGTGTTTAACTTGCTTTACCACTGTGACTTTGTGTTTAACTTGCTTTACCACTGTGACTTTGTGTTTAACTTGCTTTACCACTGTGACTTTGTATTTAACTTACTTTACCACTGTGACTTTGTGTTTAACTTACTTTACCACTGTGACTTTGTGTTTAACTTACTTTACCATTGTTTGTCATAAGAAAATAAATAATTTCTGCTGTAATAAACATTCAAACAAGATCTGGAGAAAGTGAAAGAGAGGGAAAGATTGCGGAATCTTTTACTGTGGTTTCTATGCAGCAACCTCAAATCTCTACGACTATAGCTACTTTGGTCCAGGTGAATAATGTGCACAAAATAGATATGAATAAGTTCTTACTTCTGAAAGAGATGAAACATCTTTAGGAAGCTCTTTAATTTCTGGTGCTGCCGCTATACTCTCTTTCAAACTGTTAGTGGTTTGCTTTAGTTGTTCTACCTAAAATAAAAATATAAAATAAACCTGCACTGTTATACCATTATCACAATTGAAAGATTTGAATTAATGAAGTAAATAGTGTATCTGTCACCAAGTTATGTTCAAACCTGTTAAAAAGTAACATTACTACCAAGTGTCTCTTAAGGATTTAACTTTACGACTGTATTTAAATTCAAGAAAATTTAACTGTCGTAAACATAATTACTATTTTAATTAATACAATAAATAACAATCTGAAAACAAAAGTTAAAGAACTGTTTCTATACCTTTTAATTTAAACTAAAAGGTGAAAAAACTTAGTTACCAAAGGTCCTACATATATCAGCAGTTTCTTTAACACAAGTACAAAGTTTACACATACACCAGTACATTTTACACAGCTGTAGCATTTCCATATACCACCTACAGTATGTTCATATTGTTTACCTTTAGTGCATTTACATATAATGTTTCAAGGACTAATAAACATTTAAGATATTTTGAAACTTCATATAAATAACAAAACATATTTCCTACCAAACTAATAGAAACTTTTTTACCGATGGTTTTATTGAATAGTGTAGAAAAGAATGAAATGTCCAACATAGTAAACAATACTGTTTACCTTTAGCAAACCATAAAACTGTGTGTGTGTGTATATGAGAGAGAGAATAATTTGCAATTCAAAGGTACTTCAAAACTACTGTATGTACATGACCAGTACCTGATCCTCCCCCTTACAATCATATAACAAACTTAAAGGTACTTCAAAACTACTGTATGTACATGACCAGTACCTGATCCTCCCCTCCCTTACAATCATATAACAAACTTAAAGGTACTTCAAAACTACTGTATGTACATGACCAGTACCTGATCCCCCCTTACAATCATACTACAAAGTTAAAGGTACTTCAAAACTATTGCATGTACATGACTAGTACCTGATCCTCCCCTCCCTTACAATCATACTACAAACTTAAAGATACTTCAAAACTACTGTGTGTACATGACCAGTACCTGATCCTCCCCTCCCTTACAATCATATTACAAACTTAAAGATACTTCAAAACTACTGTTTACCTGAATAATTAGTGTAAAAAACATTCAGTGTGTTGTGAAGCTTGTCATGAATATCTGATCAGTCAGAAAACTTAGCCAATATATGTGTATTGCAAATACCTGTTTTTCTAATGAGGAAATATCATTAACAATCTTCTTAAAGTCCGTTCCTAGGATGGATACATTTTTCTCAATCTTTTTAAGATGAGAGTGGATGGAATGTAAAGCTTCTGGAGTGTTTTTGTTACCTGCTTCAACTATAAGGATTAATAAAAACAAGAGGCATACAGAAGTTAGTTTATTCCTTAACAATCATAATCTTCACAGGGTAAAATAATCTAATTTTCTAGCAATTAGTTTGCCAACCATTTTTTTAAACTACCTTATTATCAGATTAACCCTTTCTTTAAATACACCAGTTCAATTAAGTATTAAGCATTCCAATTACTAAGCATCTAGCTTAAAGGTAAACTAATTTATTTCTCATAAAAATAAAACAGTTACTATAACTATTTTGTACTGGTTTACATTTCAGTTGTTTATCTTATTATGCCCAAAATGTTATATCTATACAGAAAAACTATTTTCAATCAGGTAACTTAAATTAATAAGTGATACCAACATAAAATCACTATAGGTTATTTTGAAATGGTTGTAATATCTATTTTTTGCACCCAAACTGTTCATACATCAATTATTTCTACTGGATGCAAAAAATAATTTATTATTAAAATTCAACAAATGGGAAT